TTTTACTCTTCTATCCACTTTAATCTAATGGCATAAGAAAATTGGTTGCAATTTTTTCCACGATGGAAGGCATTCTTTTATAATTTATAACACTAATAAGAAATAACTATTTTATTTACTTTCAGTATTTTACCAGGATTGAATTGCCTTCAAAGAAGCTTCCCGTGCAACAGGAACCCTCCACTCTGTAAGCTTCTTTTGCTGCATTGCCTTGAGATAGCTTATACTTGGCATTATGCTATAATCACTGAGAAACTTCAAGTAGAGGGGAAAAGGCATAGACAAATTATCCATTCTTGCTTTCCTAGTATCAATAATTCTGGGCTTGGCCAATTGAAATATGTATGCATCAATGGCAATTGTAAAAAGACATTAACTTCATCCTGCTAGAACTTGAAAGGAGTCAAAACTTGCTGTTTTTAATCTGTTATAAAATAATGACTTCAGTAACCTACTGGGTATGAATTTTTATTGCTGGAATTTTAATTGTTGTTCTTGAGTAACTTGCCAAGCATATTTAAATATTCATGTTGGCAGATGCAAACTTCTCAATCAAGTGTGGTGGGTTGGAGACGACTGCTGATGGGATAAAATATGAGGCTGACAACTCTTTTCTCGGCACAGCATCATTTAATGTAATTGGTTCTGAGAAATGGGCAGTTAGCATTGTGGGTTCTTTTTCTGACAGAAGTAATCAAATCTATGTGCAAAACCGCCAAAACACCTCAGCACAAATGAGAAACACAAACTCGCCTCAGCTTTATCAGACTTCGAGGATATCCCCTGGATCACTCAGATACTATGGCTTAGGCCTAGAGAATGGGCCTTATACAGTTAACCTGCTTTTTGCAGAAACAGCTTTCAAAGATCAAAGCACACAAACTTGGGAGAGTCTGGGAAGGCGAGTTTTTGATATTTATATTCAAGTAAATGTTCAGATTGCATTTGTGGATCATTTTATTCAAGTCCTCAATGTAATAAATGTTTCTAAAATTACAAATTTGCGAACTTAAGTTTTATGTGTTCAAATTTTAATCATAATAAACTTTTCCCAGGGAACCATCATATTGAAGGATTTTGACATATCGAAAGAGGCAGGTGGAGTTGACAGAGCAATCACTAAGAATTTCAATGCTACTGTGACAGAGAACTATCTTGAAATTCATCTATTCTGGGCTGGTAAGGGAACATGCTGCATACCAGAACAAGGTTACTATGGATCATCCATTTCAGCAATCAATGTGGTATCAAGTAAGAAATGAGATGGCATAAGAATCTTTGTTTGAAATCTTAAGTCATGTCTATCTCTGTCTGCCACTGCTAATGCCCAAAACCTGTTGATCAGATCTCACACCAAGTGGGATTCCCCCACGTACAGCAAAAGAGAATAGGATTGGGTTGATTGTTGCTGTTGCAGTTCCTGTCGGAGTTGTCACTTTCACCTTGATATTGATATTTGGAGTCTTCTATTTGAGAAGGAGAAAAGATGATGGTGAGGATGGTAAGATTCCTAAAAAGTGCAATGGTAGTTAATTAGTCACAATATTAGTTGTAAAACTGATTCATGTTAACATGGTACGGTGGATCTGGCCTCGTTGCTGCTGAGTGAAGTTCTAGGCTCCCCAAACCAAGTTCTAGGTTAAGCTCTTTCTGATCTTTAGACATAATTATTTTCTTCTTTATTACAAGGGTGGACAAAGAGGTTTTTAAAGGAAAAGATATTCTAGTAGTACTTCTGGAAGGTTGGCTAAGAGGCCGGATTGATCTCCCTTGATGGAGGGAAAAAATGATTTTTTTTTTTTTCAACTTCTTTGACAATGCTGCTCTATCTTGGGGTGATGCATTCACATGGGACCAGTATTCCTTGTGTTCAGAAGAACAAATTTTATTTATAGGAAGTAAACTTGAATATTATGAGTTGTTGATTTCTGGTTTTGTTCTCCCAGACATAATATATCTCGAGGCTTCTGGTATAGACTCTACTCTTATTTTATTTACTCAACAATTTTCTGATTAATTATATAAAAAGGATGAGGAAAAAAAAAAAGAGACAGAAATTATACAATGGCTGAGTCCTAGGACCAGTGCTTGTATAATTTCAACATTATATAACTGGGTTTTTCTAACCTATGCCATACATTTATTGCACCTTTTCACCATTAATTTGTCTAAAAAATTGCAAAAGTAAACTTTATTTTCAACACCAATGCCATGTGGAACAATTTAATTGAATGATTGATATAATTAAAGTCAACTTACTATTTTTTCAATGCAAATTAATGGTAAAAAAGTGCAATAAATGCAGTTGTAGGGCATAGGTTAGAAAATTCCTATATAATTATCTCCTATTTCATTTGTAGATTTTATTCTAACTTCTTCTCTTGAATTTGCAGACCTTCTTGGAATAGGGCCCAGACCAAACACCTTCAGTTATGCTGAGTTGAGAGGTGCAACAGATGACTTCAGTCCCTCAAATAAGTTAGGAGAAGGGGGATTTGGTCCGGTATACAAGGTAAGCTATTGGCTTAAAATCTTAAATCTGTTTTTAATGAGATAGAAGATTTATATGACAATGTTACTAAATAAAGCACTCTAAATACATTATAGGGTAAACTTTCTGATGGGCGGGTAGTAGCTGTGAAGCAGCTTTCAGTAGCGTCTCACCAAGGGAATAATCAATTTGTTACTGAGATTGCTACCATATCAGCAGTGCAACATCGCAACCTTGTTAAACTGTACGGATGCTGCATTGAAGGAAACAGACGCCTCCTTGTTTATGAGTATCTTGAGAACAAAAGCCTTGACCAAGCACTCTTTGGTAAGTCTGAACAAGTTATTTGCTCCCTTTTAGCCTTGATGCAGGAAAATGAAACAAATCTGCATCTGAATTCATTTCTTCACAAAATTAATCTCTCTCCATGACATTTCATGCCTCACATATGCAGGAAATAAAGACTTGCATCTTGATTGGCCAACCCGCTTCAGTATCTGCCTGGCAACTGCTAGGGGACTAGTTTATCTTCATGAGGAATCATGGCCAAGGATCGTACACAGAGATGTGAAGGCAAGTAACATTTTGCTTGATGCTGAGCTCTGTCCAAAAATATCTGACTTTGGATTGGCAAAACTATATGATGACAAGAAAACTCACATCAGTACCCGTGTTGCAGGAACCATGTAAGCTCCTTGAATTACCTATCAAAAGAGTATCTAAATGCTTATTTGCATTATATTGTAGCTCATATGTGTTATTAGGTTCCATGGCATCAAACCATCAGTGGAATCCGGAGACTTAGTATCATAGATAGAGAAATCATCTCAATAAACCTTCAACGTGCAAAATTTATAGCTTAATTGCAATATTGGCAGTGGCTATTTGGCACCAGAGTATGCAATGCGTGGGCACCTCACTGAGAAGGCAGATGTTTTTGGCTTTGGTGTTGTTGCTTTGGAAATTGTCAGTGGCAGACCAAACTCTGACAACAGCCAGGACAAAGACAAGATCTATCTTCTTGAATGGGTAAAGAAAGAAACTCTGTTATTTTTTCCTTCTTTATAGATACATTCCTTGTGCATGAGATTTACTTATACAATGTGTCTAGGCATGGACTCTGTATGAAAGCAATGAAAGTCTAGGTCTGGTGGATCCAACCCTAGTGAAGTTTGATGAAAATGAAGCTTTGAGAATGATAAGAGTGGGACTCTTGTGTACGCAAGCATCGCCAATGATGCGACCACCCATGTCAAGGGTCGTAGCTATGCTTGCTGGGGATATTGAAGTAAGCCCTGTTGCCTCAAAACCAAGTTATTTAACTGACTGGGATTTTCAGGACATAACAACCAGCTCCATGGCTGAAAACACACAGTCTACTGGATCTGAGCACAGTAACAAGCACGAGAACAATCTTAATTCAGAGATAAAGCCGGTGCCTTCTCCATTAAATATGACTGAATTCAGTGACGTCATTGGGGAAGGAAGGTGAGAGATGTGATGTTCTTTCTTGCAAGCTCCATTTTGCTACTTTTCCTACTTCTACCTCTGCTACATACTAGTTCTGTATGTTGATCATTTCTCTCTGTGTGAACTGAACAAGATAATGAAATATTGGCATGCAATAAGGCTGTAGTGTGCAGTGTTTTTAACTTAGGATGTCATTCCTATCGTGTAGTAATAATACTCTTCAAATCTGCAGGATTGTTTGCAATTCCCCACCGTTATGTCAAGTTATAATAAGAAATAACCCTTTCATTTTCAACGTGCAAACCCCTCTCCATTTTTATGTATATTTTACTACTAATACTTAACAATTGTAAAATGAATGTAATTTAAATTTGACTTTAATTTCACATTTTATCTTCATAAGAATAATACATATATATTCATTTAAAAAAAATAATATTCAGTGAAATTTCAATAATAATTAAATAAAAAGAAATGCACATAAGTTTTGGAAAAAAAAAAAAAGAAAAAAAAATATTATTGCTTTTTTTTTTAAAACTCTCTCAAAAGAGCAAAAAAAGAAATGCCTGCTCAATTTCAAGCATGGCTCATCTGTTGTGCTTGCAGAGAATTGACAAAACGTAACGTTTTAAATTTTTTTAAGCGTTCTTTACAACATAAGCGAGTCGCGGAGTCTCATATTGCCGTAGCAAATCTTCTCTTATAGGCTTCTGCTTCTCTCAATCGATATAAACATGGAGTTTGGTGTTGTTTGGTATTGGTAAAAGAGCAAATATTAGACGATACAACTTCCAATATTAATCAGCTTATTTAATTATTTTTATTATTGGATTTATACTGAACCAAACT